AGCTGCCTGCAGCCGCCACCTCAGCTCTGGCAGTAACGACTGCGGCAGAGAGATAGAGGTGGTTATGACTGACTTGATAGAGGCGGTTACGCCTGATTTGACAGGACACCGCTATATAAGGACTCCGGCCCCCAAAGACAGGGGAGAGAGAAAGGAAATGAAGGTAATCCCTGCTCTCTAGCTCTCTAATCTCTCTTCAAGCTCTCTACAATCAGAGTGCTAACTTAAGCATCGGAAAGTCCCCACCGAGTAAATACCCCCGAGCCCTCTAATTCAGTTCTCGCAGGTCCCGCAGCATCCGATGCCATTATAATGTACATTTGTCACCTCTAACGCATTCGGCGGACGACTCTAGGAGGTAATAATCAGCCATGACGCCATGTGTGTTACAACCAATAGCCGTAAGTTTGTTCCGGGAGTTGGATAATCTATATGCCTTCGGAATTTTGGTTCTGAAGTTGAAAGGTTTCTCCCCCATATCGCAATCGACAGCAGCCCAGTAGGAGAAAGTTAATTCGCCATCTAATGATATGTTCAACACAATCTCATCACCGTATTCATCATAATCAGGGCCATACATCATCAGTTGCGGATGGTCAGTGGCTGTATTGCACAACAACTTGAATTCATCTCTATAACAGCTTGGATCATCTCCAACGAGGCCAAACGGGTACGGAATGCTGACATTTCCGCATTTACTTTGACAACCTAGCTTTGTCTCTGTAGATATTGGAAAGACTGTTGCAATTGCCATCATCACAAGTTGTTATGAGACAAGGTAAAGTAACACGGTTAAAGCCTTGGTTTTTAAAACCAAACCGGTTAGGGGTCCGGTTACCGGTTTGAATGGTTTGAGGCCGGTTCCTTCTGACAAAAATAATTTGAAAATTTAAAAAAATTGGAAAATGGTTAAAATCATTCGAACGGTTAATTGGTCAGTTCAATGGTTTATTGATCAAAATCAACGGTTTTAAAGAAAAAAGCGGTTTTGGGATAAAAAGGAACCGATCAGGTCAGGTGACCGGTTCCCGGTTTTTCCGTTCCAACCGTCCAGTCCAATTGGTTTAAAGCATATTTCTGTTTTCTTTCCAGTTTAAAAAGGATTTTTTATGTAATTTTGAAAATGATTTAATACTGATCTTGTGTGAGTTTAAATCAGCCCCCCACAACGTCTCACAGCACATCCTGCCGTGTATTGAGAATATCTCATCGGGAGATGTTTCTAATACACGGTGGGGATGTGGTGTAGGACGTTGTGGGGGACAGTCTTGTCTTATGGGGGGCTGATTGTCTCGTCTTATGTTGAGCCTTTTTATATGTGCAATTGTGCAGCCTTTTATCTCTTGAAGTTATTTCCGCAAGGCCTCTCAACTATCTTATCGATTTCACGGTTTGGTTTTAGGTTTGCATTTGGCGATACTCAGTTGCTTATGGCTGTGGTTTCTATCTAATTGTAAAATATAGTTGAGTTAGGGTGATTGATAACTGTATGGGTTCTATGTTTTCTTTCCAGTAATTTTCTTTTCAAGACCGAGTATGGTTTAGTAGGTCACTTGGCAATCAGTATCCCTCCTTCATATGGGGTCAAAGCCACATTTACATAAGATCGTAGGGTGATCATGGGCCTAGGTCTAAKCCTAGACCTGGCCTTATTCCAAATTCATGTTTAGCTTGCATGGCTTAGCTAGGCTTTGAGCCCATTACACAAAAGATAAGGCATGGGCCTAATCTAATTCCTATAATTGGTTTAGCCTCTCCATACTTTATAGATTAAGGCAAAGCCTTCATTCCCTTTYTGAAGCAATGTGAGACTTGGAACAGTCAATCACTATGAAATGTTGTTTTAAATCCTACATTCGTTGGAAAAGAGGCCTTACCTCTGAGGACAACTCTCTCTCACATTTGAGTTGACTCGTGTGTTGACATGYGGCATATGTATATGATAAAATTTGTATATTTTAAGTAAAATATTTGACATCTAATATGAAATTCAATATATATGCATATATAACATATAAAATATAGTAAAAATTTATGGAATATTTATACTATTAAGTATGTAATCTATTGTATTCCTTTCTCCTTCCCCTTTCCCGCCTCGTCCTTAACTCTCTCTCTCTCTTCATTATCCCTCCCTATCCCTTACATTAAGTCACATCACTAAGGAGCCTTACTTTTATTAGTCCCCACTTTCCAATTACCTAAAATATCTCTCTCCTAAAGCCTCTTCCCAATTACTTTTATTAGTCCCCACTT